GTTTTCAGTTGATTAACGTGAATTTTTGGGTAATTATGTGATTTTATACGATTTTTACAGTCTTAGTTATGAGATAAATGAAGAATAAGAAATAAAAATAAAAATATTGCAAAAATGGGGGAACCCGCCGGCCAGCCGGGCCCGCAAGCGGGTCGGAAGCGCAGTCGGGGAGTAGCCGCGAGCAGGGGCTCGAGCGACTTGCTTGGATCGATAGGGGCACATGTGCGCCACTCCCCTTCCACGTCACCGGTGGTCAGCCGGCTGTGGGGCAAGGAGTGGTCGTACACGCGAGAGGACTTTGCCTAGAAACCTAACTTTACTATATATTCGCCCGAATAATCCGCCGATGTGGGACTAAATCCCTTGTTCAGGGGCGGGCGACCGCCGCGGGTTCGAATCTTCCCAGAGTCAAAATTCATATATTTTTAACTGATTATCGCGACTTTCCTGCAGATCACCGGTGAAGGATTAAGCAACCGGAATCGCTGGATCATCGGCGAAAATCTCGTCAACGCGATTCGCAGAGCATTGCTACTAAAATTTCTGAACGATTCGCGATAAAAGGATCGCAATCCATCGAGTAAATCATCTCCGATTGATCGACGAACAAGCCGTCGTCGGGAAGAGGACGATCCGCCGGGAGACCGGTCGCCACCTCCTGAGAGCGTACCAGATGCGATGAAGAGCCTCCTCTTGCTGCGCAGACCTGAGGATGAAGCTCCCTAACACGCGCCTCACCTCCATCCAGCCCCTCTCCGTCGGGTGACAGCCGCCGGAAGAGCCGCAAAGTCGCCGTTTTTCCGCTCCGCCGGGTGACAGCCGCCGGAGACGATTCGACGACCCACTTCATTGGTCTCTAGACTTCGCGAGAAGATCTAGAGATTGCCCACGTCTTCTTTGTCCAAGGAGAGCCTTCGAGGCCGTGGACACTGCACGACGATCCTCCCGAACGCTTAGGATTCCGGTGCATCGCCGACGCATCGCCGTCGCGACGCCGGAACTCTGTTTTCCTGCTTTCAATTTAATTTACGCTTCATTTATTGATACTTTGTTGATTTTTATTTACCAAACTATACTTCGTTAAATTACGATTCTTCCGGCTTTTACAGATCTTAATTTGATTAATTGAGTCGTCTGTAATCGCCTACGTAAGAATCGCCGGGCGGAACTCTGTTTCCGCCTGATTCGCGTTCGCCGGGCGCTGACGTCATCCTGACGTCCGCACCCTTATTTCCTTTTTTGTGAATTTTAAATATATTTCCTTTTTATTTCATAGTATAAAATTCGTAAGAAAATCGTACTCATAGAGAAAAATTCTAAATAATTACCAGATATTATATTACATCCCTGTGATCGACCTGGAAAATTACCACTATTTTTGAGATTTTTATTGAATTATAATTGATCTATTTATTTTGAAATACTTCTAAATATCTGAAAATTCGTATTTTCTAGTTTTATAAATTTTAAATTTGCGTGATTTAACATACAACGACTGAGTCACGTCAAAAAGTAACCTTAAATCCACAAGGGAATGATTGAATCCACAAGTAAATAAAAAATGAAACCTTACATGAGAGAAGCTCAAGATTGTTGAATTGACTGTCTTTCAATTACAATGGGGGACCTTTATGAAGGAGTAAAAAAAGGTGGTGTACCCTTGAAAATGTTGGTCATTCCCAAAAGTAAAATAAACTCTGAAGAAAATCAAAACATATTCCAAAACAGCTAAGATAGAAATCAGAAATCAAAAAGAAAAAGGAAAAAAAAAACCCTGAAATGCCAACCAAGTTTGTGTCAATCTTCATGTGCTTTACTTAAGCCTAGTAAGGTTTTGTGCTGTCTTTTTGTATTTTGCTTTTCACAGCAAAATTCTGTGGATTATGAACTCATTGACATGACTCAGTCATTGTATATTAAATCACACAAATATAAAATTTATAAAACTAGAAAATACGAATTTTCAGATATTTAGAAGTATAAATATATCAATTATAATTCAATAAAAATTCCAAAAATAGCGGTAATTTTCCAAGTCAATCACAAGGATGTAATATAATATCTGGTAATTATTCAGAATTTTTCCCAATGAATATGATTTTCTTACAAATTTTATACTAGGAAATAAAAAGAAAATATATTTAAAATTTACGAAAAAAAAGGAAATAAGGGTGCGGACGTCAGGATGACGTCAGCACTCGACGAATGCAAATCAGGCAGAAATAGAGTTCTGTTCGGCGATTCTTACATAAGCGATTACAAACGACTTAATTAATCAAATTAAGATCTGTAAAAGTCGAAAGAATCGTAATTGAACGAAGTATAGTTTGGTAAATTAAAATCACACAAAATATCACTAAATGAAGCGTAAATTAAATTGAAAGTAGGAAAATAGAGTTCTGGTGTCGTGACAGCGATGCGTCGGCAATGCACTAGAATCCTGAGCATTTGGGAGGATCGTCGTGTAGTGTCCATGGCCTCAAAGGCTCTCCTTAGACAAAGACGACGTGGGCAATCTCTAGATCTTCTCGCAAAGTCTAGTGATCAATGAAGTGGGTCGTCAAATCGTCTTTGGCGGCTGTCACCTGGCAGAGGGGAAAAATGACGACTTTACGGCTCTCCGGTGACTGTCACCCGACAGAGAGGAGCTGGATGAAGGTGGGGCGCGTGTTAGGGAGCTTCATCTTCAGGTCCACGCTGCAAGAGGAGGCTCTTCATCACATCTGGTACGCTCTTAGGAGGTGGTGACTACTCTCTCAGCGAATCATCCTCTTCCTGATGATGGCTTGATCGACGATCAATCGGAGATGATTTACTCGATGGATTCGTGATCCTTTTATTGCGAATTGTTCAACAATTTTAGTAGCAATGCTCCGTGAATCACGTTGACGAGATTTTTGCCATTGATCCAGCGATTTTTCCTTGCTTAATCCTTCATCGGCGATCTACAAGAAAGTTGCAATAATCAAATAAAAATATATGAATTTTGACTCTAGAAGGATTCGAACCCGCGCTGGTCGCCTGCCTGTGAAGAAGGTGTGATGCAAGTTTAGTCCCACATCAGTTGTGCGCCGATTTTTCCAGCGAATATATAGTAATGTTAACTTTGTAAGCAAAGTCCCCTCTCTCACGTGTACGACCACTCCTTGCCCCACAACCGGCTGGCCACTAGTGACGTGGAAGGGGAATGGTGCACACGTGTCCCTATCGGTCCAAGCTAAGCCGCTCGAGCCCCTACTCGCAGCTACTCCCCGACTACGCTTTCGACCCACTTGCAAGCCCGGCTGGCCGGCGGGTCCCCCCATTTTGCAATATTTTTATTTTTATTTCTTGTTCTTCATTTATCTCAAAGGTAAGACTGTAAAAATCGTATAAAATCACATAATTACCGAAAAATTCACGTTAATCAATTGAAAACCAAAAATCATTCTTTAACACAAATATAAGTCTATTTATCATGAGTTAAGGCTAAAACTATATTATTTACTAATTATTAACTCATGATAATGAAGACTTATCACTTATCTTTAACTTTTCTCATAATTCTGGGCATTACATAATGATAGATTTCCTTTTTAAAAAAATATTTTTAAAATTATATTAAAATAAAATAATTATTCAAGAACTTAATTCTACATAGCTCTGTTTCTAGACACCTCAAGTTATAAGGAGCCTCTCTCTATGATGGATTCCAAACTCCATGACATTTCTAATTATTTATACTGATTACACAGATTTATGTTAGATAAGAGTTTAAAGATAAAAGCCTTTTGTTATAAATTTGCATCCTAAAGTCATATTACATATACTATGTTGTGTTAGACTAATATTTTATGAGTACACATGGTAAAATGTAAGGTTTCTATGGTGATCCCCTTATTCCAAGATTCCCATGGTCATGATTTCTTGACACTTCTTATTCTTCAAGGGAATGAACAAGAGTCTATGGGCAAGCTGTGGTGAACTTAATTGGTCCAAAAAAAAAATTCATTCAGCTTGATTGAGAAAGATGGTTTGGGCAAGAAGGATGTGGCCAAGCATGGCCTGTTGGGCATCTCACTTCAAGTGCCCAAACTTGGGAGATTAGGCTAGGTTGGGCCCAAACTTGAGAGAGATTTTCTTGGCCCAATCTTTACTAATGAAAGCATCACCAATAGAACAATGGCTCGGCAAACTACACTTGACCAGGGTAATGAAGCTCAAAGCATCACTTAGACAGCAACAGGCTGTAACCTATGCTTAACAAGGCTGATAACAATGCATAGAGAAACTATGCTTAACTAGACTAATCTATGCTTGAAACAAAATTTTCAGCAAATAATAAAGCTTGAAAGCACAATGTAGTTAACAAAGAGTTTGTAATCTATGCCTAACTAGACTAATCTTAATGCATATAGGAAATTTAAGCCCCAAGTTAATGAAACTAAATAATAAAGCCCAAAAGCACCCCCTAGACAACAAAGAGTTGGCAACCTATGCTTCACTAAGCTGATCTCAATGCATAGAGAATTTTCAGGCCTAGCCTTTAATAAAGCCCAATAAACAAAGAGTTGGTAACCTATACCTAACTAGGCTGATCTCAGCATGTAAAGCAAAGTTTTGGGCCCAGGCTGTAATGAAGCCTAAGAACAGGACCGAGACAACAAAAAGTTGGCAACCTATACCTAACTAGGCTAACCTAAGCATGTAGAGCAAATTTTCTGGCCTGGCTTGTAACCTAAACCACTCTGATCTCAGCATGTAGACAATATTATTTCGGGCCAGGGCTTTAGTGAAACCGGGGCTTTTCCCAGCCCGGGCCTTCACTTTCCACTCACGGTTTTCAAAGGGCCTAGTCAAAGTAAGCTCATTAAACTCAGGCCCATATATTTGTTCATGGGCCCAAAAAACCCGGACCGGCATGGTGAATACTAGAAAATCCTGCACCTTCATGGATCCCACCAAAACCCCTCTCCTCTTTGTCGATTCTCTTCCGGTCACCACCTCCTCCCTCCACCGCCATGGCGAGGGGGAGCTCATCTGCGGCGGCAATCGGTGTGCCCTTCCCGCCTGCGGCGCCGCCAGTCTTTGTGGACACGAGCCTGGGGACTCACGTCGCTCTGGTGGTCTCCTCCGACGAGACCGTGGCCGAATTCAAGCGTAAACCCTTCCCGTCCCTACCTCTTACGCATTTCTGCTTTCTCTTCTGTCGCTGTTCACTTTCCTCATAAATCCTTCAGCAACGGTGTGTTCGTTGTGCTTCCATTTCATCGCGTTCGATGACAAGTAGTGAAATCCTGTTGTGATGTTGCAGCCATATTATTCTAAATCTAATGGGGTCTCCCTCTCGCCTTCCTCGTCATAATTGGTCTACTATGAGCTGTGCTTAATCCTTCTGTTTTCTCGATTTTGCCATTGGTTCTTCTCAATTTGTCCCTGTGAATGGCCGAGTGGTCACCATAGACACTGTCTCTCTTTCAGAACTGAGATCTAAGGTGAATCTCATTCTCATTTGCAGGGAAAGTCTGCATTGAGCACGCAGCTTGCTTCCCCAGCATTGGAGATGTCACTGTTGTCTCCATCAAGGTAAACGTCCTCGAGAAGAAGGAACGGGGGACAATGTTGTGGTTTCGTTGTCACTCGTTTCCTACATCTTGTGGTCTGTTACGATTTCCCCCTTATAAAAAATTGATGATAGTTCTGGTTAATATAATCACAGGTTCGGCGCAGAGCCACCTACTACCACCTCTCAGATTCCATGCTGGTCAGGACTGCTTTCAGTGGAATCAAGGGGACTTGGTTTATTCAGATGGATGTGGTGCCCACTAGTGGTCACGGCAATGGCCCTTCTTCTGTGGACGAGCTTGTCAGAGATGATTCAAATCTGGAGCTTAATGCTCATATACCTGCGCCTCCAAGTGTCTCTGATGCTCCACTAGTCCCATGTGTGAGTGGTAAAAATCAGCTATCAAGATCTGAATATCTTTCCTGTGATCAGCTGCCCATTGATACCCAACGTGGGGAAGCATCAGGGAGGGGGACTGGAGGTACTGGGTCCCTCAGAAGCCCTGGAAAACAGCCAGATGTTGATCCTGGAGGTTGGAAGCCACTTTCTGAGAGTGATGGGGTTTCTGGTTTTTTCAATGACCAACTTCGGAAAGATGATGGAAAGGACAAGGAGTCTGCTAATCCGGGTGATGGAATTAATGAGGCTGCGGCAGATACGGTTGCTTCTAGCAAAGAGCAGTCTCAAGGAAAGAACATTGAACCAGAAGATAGTTCCTTGCTGAAGCAGTCCTCAGGGAAGAAGAGGCATAAGAAACACAAGGGAAATGATGGTGGCCCTTCTCGTAAGGACCAAAGTGAAGATACTTTGGAGGCAACTGGGACAGAAAATCCACCAGCAGCTAATGTTTCCAGAGAACAGAGTGTAGTAGGCCAACTGGGTATCTTGGGTGAGCTGTGCAGTCGACTTCTGAGTGATGACTCTCTATTGCCACAGGATCTTCTCCATAAAAAGAAGAAGAAGAGAAAGAGGAGGAGAAATGAAGTAGATGACTGCCAAAATGAAGAGGATGCTGCTTTGGGCCGCAATGCAAGTGACAGCCATGGGAAGTCAGCTCATGGAGTTGAATTGACTGAGCTCGAATCAGACAAAAAGGGCTTTTCCTTGGGGAAAGAAGCCACTGAGGGCGACCCGAATGACAAGATGCCAACCATTGCTGATATACATGTGCAGACTGCTGTGGACTCATTCAATGAAAAAGTTTCGAAGGGTTTAACCAATGACAGTCACATGGATTTAGATTCTGAAGTTGTTCCCGCTCCCTCCAAGGGAAGCAAAAGAAGCACAGATAAGGCCAAGAAAATCAAAACTAAAGTTCAACTCTCCAGTTATGAATTTGTTGAGTCTGAGATTGTCCAGACCTCCGGGAAAAAAGTTGTAACAGATGAACCTGACCATCCAGTTCCAGGACCTGATGGAGGAACTACTCATGATGAAGCTCATGGAATTGGAAACGCTGCTGGGTCTGTGCATAATGCCACTCCAGATAGTAGTAGAACCTCGAAGCATAAGAAGAAAAAGTCAGATAAAGCAGCATCATCAAAAGTTGAGTCTGACTGGAAGGAAACATTTAGTTCTGCAGCAACTATCTCCAGAGAAACTACAGTAATCTCGGGGAGTGTCACGGAAATAGAGTCCCCAGTCCCACAAAAGTCTGAAAAAAACCTAAGCCACAGCAGGAAGAAATCAGTAAATGCAGAAGCATCTGCAATCAATCCCTCTATTTCAGATCCTGTAAGTCTTCCAGAACAGCCCTTAGAAAGTAAATATGTAGAAGCTGCGAAAGATAGGCCTAGTACTGGGGATGAGCTTGCATCAAAATCCACACAACAGGAGCTTATCACTGAACATGGGTACATCAAGGAGAAAAGTCACAAGGTAAAATTACATGAGAATGATTCTGCAACGAAAATCCAAAGAAGATCACACAAGAAAAAATCTGCAAATTTATCACAGCCTGTTCAAAAGAATGACGAAGAGAGAGAAAAATCTGTCACCAGAGATCATAATGCCTCTGGATATACTGATCAAAATATGTCCGCAGGCAGTAATTTGAAAAAGCAAGTTCTCAGTGCTAAGTTAGAGAAGTCTGCAGAACATCGGGAAGCTAGTGATGACATAGGACAAATGCAGGCCAGTGGCAATGTTGTAAACTCTGGGAAGGAAATAACTACTTACCCAGCGGAGTCAAGTGACACTACAGAGGAGGACTCTGCGTATGACAAGAAACTTTATCGAATTGCTGTGAGAAAAGTTCGCAAAAGTAGATCAAAGAAAGATGTGAAAAGATCTGATCAAGAGGAGATATGTCTGAACGCGAGTGATGACACTTTTGGCCATTTTACAAGTGCTAGCTCAGGGGACGAAGCTGAACCCCATGGTCAGAAAGATGTTAACAAAAAGGTATCCAGTAATTCCGCATATAGCTATCCTGAAGAGGATACTAACCCAACATTGGTAGTCAGAGGACCCAAGGTGCAGAAGACAACCGGTCATTCAGGTAACATTTATCCTGTGGTTATTTTTCTGTATGAGTCATGACACTCGCTCCTGTGTCCTATTCTTGAATGATAATGTGCCCATCTGAGTCCAAAAGAAATATTCGGCTACTCTTCAATCGTTGACAAAAGCTACAGGTTTATGACCCTTCTAATCATCAATGAAGGGAAAACTGGACAATATTTTTTCCCACTTTTACATCTCTGGAACAAAATACAAAGAAGCAAATTGTAGTGTGTGTTCCACTTTACCAAGGTGCTATTTAGAATAGAGGGTTCTAGATCTCACCAAAGGATGTAATGCAGCTTTGTGCTTTTGGCTAGGGTGGGGAAGTTTATGTTTGGTGGATTGGCTGTTCGTTGTCCAAGGAAAACTCTACGCACTGCATGAAGTAGAAACTACCGTTTTAGGTGTCCTAAACTGTTGTTTGATTATTCCTCTCCAACCAAATTGCCCTTTGAATATCAGAGAGAAGTTTCCACAGACTAAGATGAGGATGAGCTAGAACTAGATCCGGAAGACTTCCATCTGGTCATCATTTAAAAGTTGTATTCTCCTGTTTGTCAGGTTAAATCGCCATAGTACTGATACTATCACAGTTGACTAGAAAATGTTGTCTTGCATTTCTCATTTGGATGTGCTTTTGGATGCAGTTGGCCGCATCTAGATTTCCTTCGGATGAACTTGGTTCATTCCTTTGGCAAGAGTTTGCAGTAGCTCAAAACTTTTTGGGGTACTCAGTGGACAGTATTCTTGATGTTTTTTTTTTTTTTCTGATTTGCACAAATGCTTTTAATTTCTATGTTATTTTTATTCTATTATTAAAAATAAACGGTCCAGTTAAATTTTTTGTATGGTTAGTATTAGAACTGAGGATTCTTCCTTTATGGTTCTAGGGGCATCACTATCAACTGTGCATGTTCTACGCACAGAGGAAGCTAGTGGCGATGAGATTGACCTGTCACAGTGAGTAGAATTCTATAACCCAGTAGCTTTGTAGTTCATTTGAGGATGCTTTCAAGCATTGGGTTCAACAATTAGACCATAATTAAATAAGTCAGACGTATTTTAGAACTGTAAATTATTAATTATTCATGCATTTTGTATAAGTTTAATAGTTTATAATGCTTTTAGTAAATTATCCGTGAGAAGTAATTCAGGACATATTAGATTCCGTTGAATGTAGAATTTAAATGATCAATAAATGTTGAGAATTATGGTCTTCTGTTATGGGATATCTAACTCTTCTCGAAGCTTCAGAGATTAAAAACGCAGTAATCTCTCGAAATTATTGATACAAGCTCAATAATCTTTGTCAAGTTGGTCTCCCATATCACATATCCCTCCTCATGATGATTCTTGCTCGGATTGAGACAGATTGATAAATTGCGCCTTAATTCTTCCAAAACGTTCATAATCTTATTGTTTTTCTTGTTTCCGTGGACGACAGGACTTCAAATGCGACCAAGAAACGGATTGCACTGAGCGTACTCCTCAGAGGTTCAAATAGCTATAGGAAGGCCAAGCGTAGTGCTCCTGTATCCCGGCCTGATGATACAGATAGTCAACCGGTTGACTTTGTTCCGGAAACTCAACCAGAATTCCTCTAAAAGCTCAACCCAGTTGCCCTCTATCGACGTTTTGAAAGAGTACTGTTATCCTTATTGAGCGTCTCTGTGATGCTCTCTGAGCCAAAAGTCAGCATATGACTCAGCTTTTTGCAGGTGCAGTCATGTCCAAATTTGGTATATATATATAGTTTGCAAATTTGAGCCCTTTTTCATCGTTCGTTGATTTTGCCCTTCTCCAAAACGATTAAGTGGAACCATGTTTGTTTATGTCTCTGCCTATTTGCCGTGCTGATGGGTTTTAAAGGAAATGTGAAATGTCAACGTGGGTCTGATCACTTTCAACTGTTCCTATGGAATTATCCCCAGAGTTTGCTGAAGCAGATAAAATACGATTCATGATGAATTCTGACTTTGCATCATTGTGTCGATTCTGATGGATTCTGCTCCTGAATTAGTCCTGAATTGTGCTGCATCAGATGGATTCTGTTCTTGAATCTGTCCTCAAATGCGCAGTATCAGATGAACCATGTCGTTGACTTTGTCCTCAATGTGCTGAGTCAGATGAACTCTGATCATGACGAGTGCCAGGTGTTCTTGAGGTACGCTTCATTAGCTCAAATTAATCCATTGTTTCCTCTTAATGGAAATAAAACTACCGGTGTATAATATCTTAGTCTTATGACCAAAGTTATGCATTTTAGAGGACAAAATGTCTATTTAGTCGGCAATTAGGCTGATATGAATGTCTAGGTGAAAATTTTGTACGTTAATATAATTTTTTATAACGTTGTTATAATCAGCTAAAATCTATGCTCGTGGATTTGTATAAATATTGGTGTCTAATATTTGGCATAACATAATTCGCATATATAAATCAAAATACGAGCAGTCACGGATATGTATATTTATATAGATATTAATATTTATTGAATATTTATATTATGCTCAAAGAAGGTAGATTCTGCGCAAAAAATCAAAGAATTCTGCTCATATGACGACGCATTGAGCAATGTTTCTTCCAAATTGGCGGCGTGGTAACAAGAAAAAGAGCGTGTAATATCATTAAACATATACATTTTTGTCGTTGCATACGGATTTGTGCACGATGCGGTTTATTTGTCGAAATATATATACATATATATACTGATAATATGGTTTATCGATGAAATATTGGTGGGCAGGAGAAACGATCAAGATCAAATTTTTCGATATCGGCAAGAACAGACAGGAATTTCTTCACGGAAAGCTTCCATTTTTGGCTTTCGTCCAGAGATTTACAGGCTCAAATCCTAGAAAATAAGAGACCGGGAGGTGACCCTGACTCTCTCTTTTCTCTCTCTCTCTCTCTCTCTCTCTCTCTCTCTCTCTCTCTCTCGCTCTAGCCTGACCGCATCCGGTTGATCTGGTTCAGGGCCGGCTGGAGGATGTTGTAGAGGACCCAGAGTATGGCGGGGACGAGGGGGATGAGGAGGGCGAGGCCGCGGTTGTCGCCGGCGGCGGACTCGGCGAGCTCCGCCATTTGCTGTACGGCGGCGGCGGCGTCGGGCGGCTCGAGGAGGCCGGCGGCGGCCATGGCGCCACCGATGCCCAGTCCACCGACGAGGGCCTTCTCGCTCCTCATTCTGTTCAGCTGGTTCAGCGCCGGCTGCAGGATGTTGTAGAGCACCCACAGCACCGCCGGCACGAGGGGAATGAGCAGCGCCAGCCCCCGGTTATCGCTGCCTTCTGCGACGGCGGCGGCGGCGAGGTCGGAGATCTGCTGGGCGGCAAAGGCGGCGTCGGTGGCGCTGAGGGCGGAGAAGAAGGCGCCCGCGACGGCGGCGGAGGCCGCCGGCGACGGTGGGCTGGGGAGAGCGAGCCCCCGGGGTAGGAGAGAGAGAGGGAGGAGAGAAAGTGGCCTCGCCGCCGCCCGTGGCGTCTTCACGCCGAGGCACTTGGCGTTGGGCATCGCCATTGTGGAGAGGGTCGCCGCCATGGAGAGAGAAAGAGAGGGGGTGCTAGAGTGAGAGAGGATTGACCTCCTTGGGGCTGGTGGTGTAGGCAGGGAGGGGGAAGGAGGGTTAGGGGGGTTAGAGATATAGCTGACGAGGCAGACGTATGAGTAGGGCGTCCAATGGGAGCTTCCAGTTTTAGATTCTCTTCTTATCCTCGGGAGGGGAAGCGGAATGATATGGACCTCATTTTTGCTTCTCTCGCCTACTACCCTTATCACTCTGTCTCTCTCTCTCTCTCTCTCATTACAGATGTGCCCTTGGTAGAAATCTGGAACTCTCTCATGTCTGTCTGTCTCTCTCTCTAAAAACTTCCGTCTCTCAGTGGTTTACGTAATCATCCAAACACCAAAAAACCAGGAATTTTAGGGGTGCCCCTTTGGCTGCTTTCATTCTAGAATTCTCCTCTCTCTAGACTCTAGAGTATATACAATGGGTCCATGCCCCTTTAAAACCACTCATTGTATACCTACCCTTGATTCTATCTCAATATACTTGAAATACATAGCAATGTTGTGAGTTTGTACAATCATTTATGCTCATTCATTAGCTCTCTCTCTCTCTCTCTCTCTCTCTCTCTCTCTCTCTCTCTCTCTCTCTCTCTCTCTCTCTCTACTAATTTATGCATTCATAAAATTACATTTATCCATAGCTTGTTCTTAGACGCACAAAGATGCCAAGAGTAAAACCTCAAACATGATATGATGGAGATGCACACAATTCAAGTTAGTTAAATATGAGATTTTTAAAGTTAATAAATAGACTGATGTGCCTTGGCACAACAAGACATGACTAAGGGAAATATGGTGCGGCACACAAAGGAACAAAACTTTCCATCAATCATGTAGACAGCAATATCAAGTTAGAACATGATCTACGGAAGATGTCTGTGAACTTTAAAGGTGTAGTGTGCACCAGTAGTAAACACCAGTACAAGACAACATGATGCAGCATACATGGATGTGTGTTGTGTTCAAGGAGGCATGTGACAACACAACACATCATACATTGAGTAACATAGGCTTGCATGCAATGAGTGCAACTTAGGTGGCTAACATTAGCAAATAAGAGTGAGCCCTTGAATCTTTCCTTGTTCATTCTCCATCATTAGCAAAGGATGGAGGCTGAGCTGGAGAGGGGAGAGAGGGAGAAAAGGGAGGTAGAGAGAGGGAGAGGAGGGTTCTTCATTAAAGTGAAGATGGGTGGGAGGTCCTCTATCTGTGAGACTATCTTTTCTTGTTTAGTCATCTTTTGTGGTTTCTCCTAAGCTCTCTCCTTCATTCCCTCTCATGTTTGCTGTTTTCTTCTTTCTTTCACAATCATCTTCTTGTGCCCATCATCCATCTAATCATAAGAGGGGCAGGATGTTTCTCTCTCTAAATCTAGCAATGAGACAAAATTAGAGAGAGAGAGAGAGAGAGAGAGAAAGTCGTCCCTAGAGTCTAGAAGTCCTGATCTAATTATCATCGTCAGCTTCTCTGGTCAATGGGTTCACACACTTCTGCAGATTCCTTGCTCCTTAGCGAGAGAGAGAGAGAGAGAGAGAGAGAGAGAGAGAGAGAGAGAGACGGAGGGAGAGAAAGTCATCCCCAAAGTCTAGAAGTTCTGATCTAATTATCGTTGTCAGTTTCTCCAGTCAATGGGTTCTCACACTTCTGAAGATTCCTTGCTCCTTAGCAAGAGAGAGAGAGAGAGGAGTTTTAAGCAGTGTGGTGAGAGTAAGAATCATAGAGGGAGAATGAAGATGAGAGAGGCATAGACAAATTCAATCTTTGATGTGGCCAAACACCTCGAAAAGATAGTAATTAAATATTACGAAGGCAAAGGAAATTGTCAAAATAATTAATTTAAAATTTCACATAATAAGAAAAATGAAATACCTATTCACCTTTGAATTTAGTATGTAAATTAGGGTACTAGCTCAAGTTGTACTTCTCTATTTCAAAGTGAAGTCCAAAGGAAGAACATGCCCAGTCTACTTCAATGTGCACTGACGTGACTCAGTCGTTGTATGTTAAATCACGCAAATATAAAATTTATAAAACTAGAAAATACGAATTTTCGGATATTTAGAAGTATTTCAAAATAAATAGATCAATTATAATTCAATACAAATCCCAAAAATAGTGGTAATTTTCCAGGTCGATCACAGGGATGTAATATAATATCTGGTAATTATTCAGAATTTTTCTCAATGAGTACGATTTTCTTACGAATTTTATACTATGAAATAAAAAGGAAATATATTTAAAATTCACAAAAAAAGAGAGGAAATAAGGGTGCGGACGTCAGGATGACGTCAGCGCCCGGCGAACGCGAATCAGGCGGAAACAGAGTTCCGCCCGGCGATTCTTACGTAGGCGATTACAGACGACTCAATTAATCAAATTAAGATCTGTAAAAGCCGGAAGAATCGTAATTGAACGAAGTATAGTTTTGTAAATAAAAATCAACAAAGTATCACTAAATGAAGCGTAAATTAAATTGAAAGCAGGAAAACAGAGTTCCGGCGTCGCGACGGCGATGCGTCGACGATGCACCGGAATCCTGAGCGTTCGGGAGGATCCTCGTGCAGTGTCCACGGCCTCGAAGGCTCTCCTTGGACAAAGACGACTTGGGCAATCTCTAGATAAAGCAGGAAAACAGAGTTCCGGCGTCGCGACGGCGACGCGTCGGCGATGCACCGGAATCCTGAGCGTTCGGGAGGGTCGTCGTGCAGTGTCCACGGCCTCGAAGGCTCTCCTTGGACAAAGACGACGTGGGCAATCTCTAGATCTTCTCGCGAAGTCTAGAGACCAATGAAGTGGGTCGTCGAATCGTCTCCGGCGGCTGTCACCCGGCGGAGCGGAAAAACGGCGACTTTGCGGCTCTCCGGCGGCTGTCACCCGACGGAGAGGGGCTGGATGGAGGTGAGGCGCGTGTTAGGGAGCTTCATCCTCAGGTCCGCGCAGCAAGAGGAGGCTCTTCATCGCATCTGGTACGCTCTCAGGAGGTGGCGACTGGTCTCCCGGCGGATCGTCCTCTTCCCGACGACGGCTTGTTCGTCGATCAATCGGAGATGATTTACTCGATGGATTGCGATCCTTTTATCGCGAATCGTTCAGAAATTTTAGTAGCAATGCTCCGCGAATCGCGTTGACGAGATTTTCGCCGATGATCCAGCGATTCCGGTTGCTTAATCCTTCACCGGCGATCTGCAGGAAATCGCGATAATCAGTTAAAAATATATGAATTTTGACTCTGGGAGGATTCGAACCCGCGGCGGTCGCCCGCCCCTTACAAGGTGGATTTAGTCCCACATCGGTTGTGGGCGGATTATTCGGGCGAATATAGAGTAAAGTTAGCTTTCTAGGCAAAGTCCTCTCGCGTGTACGATCACTCCTTGCCCCACAGCCGGCTGACCACCGGTGACGTGGAAGGGGAGTGGCGCACACGTGCCCCTACCGATCCAACCAAGCCGCTCGAGTCCCTGCTCGCGGCTACTCCCCGACTGCGCTTCCGACCCGCTTGCGGGCCCGGCTGGCCGGCGGATCCCCCCATTTTGCAATATTTTTATTTTTATTTCTTGTTCTTCATTTATCTCAAAACTAAGACTGTAAAAATCGTATAAAATCACATAATTACCCAAAAATTCACGTTAATCAACTGAAAACCACTTTTCATGCTTTAACACAAATATAAGTCTATTTATCATGAGTTAAGGCTAAAACTATATTATTTACTGATTATTAACTCATGATAATGAAGACTTATCATGCACCCTAGGCAAACTCTCTCTCTCTCTCTCTACTTCTATCTACTTCCTCTCATGGCGATTATCCTCTTTACAATTATAAGTTTTGAAGAATTTCAGAAATATATGTCTAGGTGATTGAAATATGAGAAAAGGGTCTCTAGAATTTTCAAATTTAAGACTATTTTTTGTGCTGTTTTTGACAATTTGTTAAATTATTTTCTATAGTTCATAACAAAAAATCAGAAACCTTATGCTATAGTTTTTCTAATATTTGTTTTGATGCTTTTATAGTTGATCATAAAATCAAATGCAAACACATGATTTGAGTCATTCTACAGCATAAATTGAGGCTTAATAGTTCATCCTCACCTTAAAAATGACATTGTCATCAATGACAAAAAAATTAAAATGAAATATGCAAAAATTATAATTTTCAAGTGAAGCATACGTATATGCAAAGTTAAGCATTAAAAATATTGTCGTAAAGGATAAAGTTCAAAAAAACATCATCTCAATCTTGTTTTTAATTTTTACACTTCGTCTTACACACTTCTTGCACTTTGATTTGAATAGAATAAATATAGAAACAAATGTTGTGAAATTTAAAAAAAGAAAACTTAGAAAGACAAAACATAATTAATAAAATAAAAAGCATGGGTTGCCTCTCATGTAGTGCTGAGTTTAATGTCCTCAGCTTGACACATTAATCTTAATCTTGAATATTTTTTAATAATAAGATTTATTTTTCTGCAAGGCATTCATATTCAATGTAATGTTTAAGTCATTGTCTATTTACCTTAAAGTTATGATTACTTTTAAGATCTTTAGTCATTATAGTCCCATAATCATATGTTTCTTCCACCACATAAGGTTGTGTCTATTTTGATTTTAATTTTTGTGGAAATAATTTCTGGTGGCAAATGGGACCCATCTCCACCAGTACATGAGCTCGAGGCAACAAAGGAGATCCAACACTCATGTATCCAATCAGATAGAGGAGCACGAGCAAAGATGAAGGATCCCAGGTTCCGCTATATGGCATGAGGCACCTTTATGTTTTTCACATCTTATGTTTCCTTTCACTTGTTTCCCTTGTTTGTGAACTATGTGGACTCTAGTTTTGTTCTGTGTGGGGCCTCCCATCCCTAGGGTCCGTGTTGGGCCCATGGTGGGAATGGGAAGGCCCATTTCCCTTTGTTTTCTTTTCTTTCCTCTCTTCTCCTGTCGGGCCATATGTGCTTGGGCCCAATTGGAGAAGAGGGCGTCCTTTTCCTTGCCTCCCTTCTCTTTTGGGCCATTCTCGTTTGGACCCAATTGGAGAGGAGGGCCCAGTTTGGACTCTATGTGTTCCTTTTTTTTTGGGGGCTTTGGCGTCTTAGGCCTCAAGCGTGACCCTCCACCCTTTGGTCCATTTGGGGCCCTATATTACGGTAGAGAGCCACCCCCAAGAGGACAGCCGTCGTTTTAGGACAAATCGTGTTTTTGTTGAGAATCTCATTCCAAGAGGACAAAAGAGGAGGGGGATCACCGCCAGGTCACCGAAGCTGCTTCCAGGCCGTCAGCAGCCCATCGACCCGCCACCAGGACGCCATCATCGTTACCGAGCTATCAGCACACATGCTGTGCCTCCGCTAGCGCACCAACCCCGCGCGCCCGCTAGCTACGCACGCCTGTCGCACGCTCAATCGTGCGTTCATATTGCAATCATTATGGCACCTCCACGTGTGCGCCGCATGCCCGCCCGCGTGCCACCGCGGCTGCCCCTCGGAGCTCACCATTGTGCCTGACCGAGGGCGCCTACCTGAGCGCCCCAGCCACTTGGTCGTGCCCCTTCCTCCGACCCTGTTCGAGCCCATACTACTGAGCCCAGCCGAGCCTAGTCGATATCTACCACTGGAACGCCTGTCCATGGTGTTAGCTGGACGCCCTGCTGCACATCGACCGGACCTCTGCCTTGCAGGTTAGCTCTTATCCCCTATCCTCCAAGTCATTTACCACATTCTGTATCGTCTCGCACATGCTCCACCGTCGTCGGACCTAGCTAGGTTAGAACGAGTTAAGTGCCTCCACCATGTGACTCTGACACGCATGCCAGAATTGTCACGTTGGCCATCGAGCACTTGCCATGGAGTCATGTTGACGATGTTAAGTCCTCACCATCTGGACGTGGACTTGGAGGATCACCTTGTATCAGAATCACCTAGTGACACCTAGTCGTGATGGACTGTCAGTGTCATTGCATTTTGACTACTGCTACTGCTTGCACTTAATTGAGTTTGGCGCTCACCATCTAGAGTCTCTAGTTACTATTACTCGTAACATATAGGGTTCCCTTCCCTTGTTATCACACCCACATTTTGTTGTTAGGGTAGGTTTACAAGCCCATCTTACATCAACTTCAACCTAGCATCATATAAAGTTTTTGTCCAACATTAAAAAGTTTTTTGCTAATATATTTATAATGAAAGGCTTTAGCTTTTTTATATATTCTATGATTTTCATAAGCTTCATTCCTCAATTCCACTAATTCATGTAGCTGAAAAATATTATACTCATATGTTGATTTTTCATTCATATTTGAAAAATTTTATAGTCTATAATACTTTATGCTCTATTTCACCACAAGCTGACATGGTTTTTTAAAGATGAGACAAAATAAGGATATACCTATAAGATTTTTATAAGTTATTCTATATACTCACAATATATCTTGTAATTTTGTGGGTCAATCTTTCTTATCTAGTCTAATTATTTTTCTTAATTTTTTTTAAACTTTCTTATTTGTTACTTCAGCTTGTCCATTTGTTTGGAGATGATATGGAGTAGTGATAAGTCTTCATTATCATGAGTTAATAATTAATAAATAATATATTTTTAGTCTTAACTCATAGACTTATATTTATGTTAATTTGTAAAAAATGATTTTTAGTTGGTTAATATGATTTTTTGACTAATTATGTGATTTTATACAAATTTATATAATTTTATAATCTTATTTTTAAGATAAATAAAGAAAAATAAAAGAAAATAAAAGGATATAAAATGAGAGAATCTGCTAGCCAATCAAGCCTATAAGTGGGTCGGAAGCATAGTCAGGTAGATCTACAAGTAGAGGCTTGAGTGGTAAAGGATGGAGGCATGTGTGCATCACTCTTCCACATCATCACTGGCCAGCCAAGTGTGGGGCAATGAGTGGTTGTACATATGCGTGAAAGAGACTTGTTGATTCTTAAATCTCATATTATTATATATTCATCTCAAAATTTGATGTATAATAGATGTGGGACTAAATCAATGATAACACCTTCTCTGAAATATTTTAATAATTTTTGTATCTCAAATATCCTTCATTTATCAGAAGAAGGTACCTTAATGATGTCACTTGGGGTATTCTCATAGTTATTTCACTCTCTCATGTAAGTGGGTGACCAATGAAGATTCGAATCATATTAGAGTGAATACTATACTTTATCTAATGAAATCAATATTTTCTACATATCATTGGTGAAAGATTAAGTTATCAAAATCATTTAATCATCGATAAAAATCTCATCAACATTATTTATGAAGCATCGTTACTAAAATTGTTAAATAATTTATAATAAAAGAATTGTGAATCTATTGAGTAAACCATCTCTAATTAATCGATGAATAAGTTATTATTGGGAAGAGGACAATCTATTAGGAAATAAGTCATTACCTTCTAAGAGCATACCAAATGTAACGATGAGCGTTCTCTTGCTACACAGACCTAAAGATGAAGCTCCCTAAGACACACCTCACCTCCATCTAACTTATCTCCATTAGGTGATGACGTGACTTAGTTATTGTATAGTAAATCACGCAAATTTTAAATTTATAAAACTAAAAAATATCAATTTTTAGATATTTAGAAGTATTTCTAAATAAATATATCAACTAAAATTTAATAAAAGTTCTAAAAAATAATAATAATTTTTCAAATCAATCACAAGGATGTAATACAATATCAAGTGATATTTTAGAATTTTTTTCAAAGAATATGATTTTTTTATGAATTTTAGACTAAGAAATAAAAATTAAATATATTTAAAATTCACGAAAAAGAGATATAAGAGGTGCGGGCATCAAGATGATGTCAGCACTTGATGAACGTGAATCAGGTGGAAATAGAGTTCTTGATGATTATTACGTAAGTGATTATAGATAATTTAATTGGTCAAATTAAGATCTATAAGAGTCAAAAGAATCGTAATTGAATGAAAAGTAGTTTGGAAAATTTAAATCACAAAAATTATCTCTAAATTAAGTAAAAATTAAGTTTAAAGCTGAAAAAATAAATCCAACACCATGGTGGTGATGTGTCGCGATGCACTAGAATCTTAAGTATTCGAGAGGATTATCATGTAGTGTTCATGATCTTGAAAGTTTTCTTTAGACAAGAACGACATGGACATTCTTTAGATCTTCTTGTGAAGCCTAAAGATCAATGAAATGGGTCATTGAATCGTCTCCGATGACTATTAGTTGATGGAGTTGAAAAATAATGACTTTGCAGCTCTCTAGTGACTATTACTTAATGAGATAAGCTAGATGGAGATGGCGCATATATCAAGGAGCTTTATCCTCAAGTCTGTACAACAAGAGAAGACTCTTCATCACATTCAATATACTCTCAAGAGGTGACGATTCGTCTCCCAATGGATTGTCCTCTTCCCAATGATGACTTGTTCATTGATCAATTAGAGATGATTTACTTGATTGATTCACGATCTTTTTATCACATTATTTAATTATTTAGTAATTTTAGTAATGATACTTTGCGAATCACATTGACGAAATTTTCACCTTTGATTATGTTATTTAATGACTTAATCCTTCACTAACGATTTGTAGAAAAATCACAATTTAATGAGACAAAAAGAAATGAGTTTTGGCTTTGAATAAATTTGAATCCATGTTGGTCACTTGCTGATAAGTTTTCATTATCATGAGTAAATAATTAGTGAATAATATAATTTTAGTCTTAACTCATGATAAATAGACTTATATTTGTGTTAAAGTGTGAAAGTAGATTTTATTTGATTAACGTGAATTTTTGGCTAATTATGTGATTTTTTATGAATTTATCTGATTTTTATAGTCTTATTTTTAAGATAAATGAAGAAAAAGAAATTAACATAAAAATATAACAAAATGAGGGGTACCCACTAGCTAGCTAGGCCTGTAAGTAGGTTGGAAGCACAGTCGAGGAGGAGCCACAAGCAAGAGCTTGAGTGGCTAGGACTGATGGAGGCACGTATGTGCCACTCCCCTTTCACGTCACTAGTGATTAGTTGGCTGTGGGGCAAAGAGTAGTCGTACACACAAGAGAAAGAATCATACTTGCAAATATAATATTACTATATATTCATCCAAAACTTCGACGCACAAATAATATGGGACTAAACCTATGACACACCTTCCCTAGAAAGGCTTTGATGATTTTAATACCTACAATACCCCTTATTTATAATAGAGATATACCATGATGACATCATTTGATAAGGACATTATAATACTTATTTTAATATCTCTCATGTAAGTGGGCAAGTGACATGGGTTTGAATCCTCTTAGAGTCAAAACTCATGTTTTTTATCTAATTATCACAACTTTTCTACATGTCGCCGATGAAGGATTAAGCCACCAGAATCGCTGGATCATCTGTGAAAATCTCATCAACATGATTTGTAGAGCATTGTTACTAAATTTGTTAAACGATTCGCAATAAAAGTATCACAAATCTATCGAGTAAAGTATCTCCGATTGATTGATGAATAAGCCATCATCGAGAAGAGGACAATTTATTGAGAGATGAGTCATCACCTCTTGAGAGTGTACCGGATGCGATGAAGAGCCTCTTCTTACTGCACAGGCTTGAGGATGAAGCTCCTTGACACACATCCCACCTCTTTCTAGCCCCTCTCTATTAGGTGACAGTAGCCAAAGAGTTGCAAAGTTGTCATTTTTCTACTCTGTTGGGTGATAGTCACTAGAGATGATTCGCTAACTCATTTCATTAATC